CCGAACAATAGTATATGCAGAAAATGAAAGCTCACAACTAAGATCATATCAGTGTACAATAATCCAAGTGTCTAATTCAAAAGCTATCCTTTCATAGTATTTGTTCTATTATAGCACAATGGGTATTACCTATCAATTAACATTCTTTTTTAACAATTGAGAGATCATTAATCAAATCACAAAAGGTTAAGTCACAGCAATGATGTACATAATTTCATCATTTAAATTACACTTTATATCAGTATACTGCTTCTGCTCTACTCGTCAATACTTCTTCCCGGTTTTTCGCTTCTTCGGGAACATTAAAATCCAGTAATTGAGATTCTCGATTTCTCACTGTTTACAATGTAACATCTTTTAGTTACTATTAACGACATTATACATTTTCTTTAATCATAATTAATTGGTTGAAATGGACTGTTCTTCATACGAAGTCTAATAAACCTAGGGTTACATCTTTTGATTATGTGGTAATGAGTATTAACCTAGGATGAGTAAAGTATTCCTCAGTATCTTGAAACGATTAAAGTTATAACGTACACCATTAGATACCGACTCAGGAGTCCCATAGTAAGATAAAGCATTTTTCCTGTGCTTCTTGTTTTCTGTTGTAATTGAACTCAGATTAGTCCGCGATGTCAACCATAAAATTCAACAATCTACACAAATATGTGTAGTAAAAATATTTAGCACTTCGTGACTCAATAATTTTCCAGTTAATGTCAGTCGATGAAGACTAATATGAGTTTATGCCAAATCCTATTCACAAAAATGACTTACTTATGTAAATCAATTCTACAAGACAGTTATGTCAGAAGTAATATATATGTTGAAACTATTATAACTAAATCAATAATCAGCGTGTAATACTGGACATTAAGTCCCGTTTCATCATCTAATTTTAGATTGTGAAAAGATTTTAGAAGCAAACAAAGACTGTAAATAAATATTTATTCTGTACAAAAATTAAAACAAACTATATCTGAATACGTTGAGTTTTAAGTATTTTACTCATACTAATCAATATATTTATATGTATAGAACCGGAAAGCGCTAGACAGTAGTTAATCTATAACTGACAATATCATTAGAATAAATAGGTATAGTCAACAAACGTAAATAATTACTTAAATTATATGGTTTACTCCTTTCTAACTAATCAAATGACTTAATATAATGTATATGGTTGTTAAAACTTGAGTTAGACCAATCATCGAAAACTAGAGGGGCTTAGATATTTGTTTTGTTCTAGTACGGAACTCCCATAGCTGAATTACATAATAAATAATTAACTAGAGATTAAAATTCAGATCTCAAGACAACCCAGTTATAACAGGAAAATATATTAATTTATCGAATGATAATAATGGAAAAAAGAAGAATAAACCATATAGCATATGTTGACATTTGCTTCAATTATGGAACAGTTCATATCTAACCGGAACATTTACTCTAAGTATGGTATAGAAATCAGTTTTAGGATCAGTTTGGCAGTTAGCGTTTGGTATGACTTAAGTTATTTATAACCATAACATCCACACACAAGCATGCTAACATTTACCAGATGTCATGCTTCATCTGGTCTTGTAGTGAGTTGGGCTTTGTGTATCTCATATAATAGCGAATGTTAAATCATTATCTTCACTGCCCACTGATGACCTCATTTTAATTTGACCTTATTACACCACCTAGTTTGACAGGTAAACAATGAATGATGAAATAGACCATAATATGCCCATTTGCAAAACAGTAAACGTTAATATTATTTTTACATTCCCATTTACCCATTTTGTTTGACCTCAAAAGGTCGATTGATATACGTTGCGTTTTCATGAATAAATCAAGCTTACTATTATTGATATAAAGATAAATACTTTTCATTAAATTATTGATCTAACTGATGGTTACTGAATATGAACTTATCTTCCGCCAGAAAACATTCGTTACCTCAAGATTACAGGTACAACTTGCTGACGATTCCCAAATACCATGAAACCCAGCCCCAAGATTTCCTGTTGACTACCTACAACTATCACCTTATGAATTGATCTTTCTTTGAAAAACCTTGAATTCCGTTGAAAGTAGGATATAGATGTTTCATCTAGATAATAAAATGTTAAGCAAGGGGGTGGATTTTCGAAAACTTTCTGTGCATTCATTTTCCGGTACACCAATGTCTATTCACACTTGATTAATAGTACATATTACTTTATGAAATATGAATATTAATTTACAGATTTAAATCACTGACAGACTACTACAAAAATAACACAATGGTCAATAATTGAGAGATGATAATAGAAATAACAAACAGGAAATCAATCGTTGAATCAATAAAGGAACAACAGAGGAAAAAGGTAAACAGAACAGAGAAGACAAAATCCATACTAATAACACACGGTTTAAATAAGGCACCATAATGAAATGAACATGTTGATACCGAAGGATAAATGTATATATTAAGTATGAGTGTGTGTGTGTGTGTGTAAGTTTGAGCAAACAGGGAGAAAAACGGATGTTGGCAATAAGGCGCTTTATATCACATTATATTTATAAATATCATTGTTAAATTGAGTAATCACATTCGATAAACAAAACTAGGGAACAATCATTAAGAATGAGAATTACTGAGTGAATTTTATTATAAATTTTGTGTACACAATAATAATGAAATTAAAATAAACAAGTAGATCAAGAGAAATCAAAGGATGAAGAATCATCAACACCGTGAGTTTGTCGTCCTGGAGTCGGTGTCACTGGTGTAGTCGCTACACTACCAGATGTTTTAGTCTAAAAGCGAAACCGAGAAAATAAATAAGTTAATAACAATAACGATAACAAAAGAATAGCTGAGTAATTCAATGACTTCTGGAGTGGAGAAATAAAAATAAAGGTTGAGTCGGTGAATTTTACTTTAAAAAAATTAAACGTAAAACTTATCCCAAGTTTCACATTACCAACAGATTTGGGTTAAATAACAATAGAAAACAAGGAAGTACTAATGAGGTATTTTGTTGTAGTATGAAACTCATAAACAGTGAATATCCACGACCCCATAAGAGATTGGATTCAGAACCATCAGGTCTTGTAGCAAGTGCTTAACCTGAATAACATTGGTTCAGTAGGAAATAACTTCTTGTGGGGTCATGAGTTCACAATGCTAAGGAGTCACGCAGTAAGACAACACAACTGTTCAGTGTTCTTTGTGATCTTTATTCTTTGTCTAATCAAAGTCGGTTTGTGTCGAGAAAACTTAAAATTGACTATTTTCATAACACCCGATAATAACAATGAAGCGTACTCATTATAAGGCTGATATAAAAATACTGTTTTAATGTTATTCCTCATAAGAGTCAATCGTATTCATAACACTTGTATTTACTCTGAACTAGTTCAACCTTATTCATTTATATGTAATGATAAAACGAGATCATCCTAAGTGAGAGATTACCTAAACAAACATACTTATTATGGTGGATTGTGTTGAACAAGATTCTAGATAGCAAAGCTACACAAATATATATTGTTTGTGGTTTTAAACCGGTTGTTAGTCAATTTTTCTCCTTCAAGCTCAAATCATCACCCCACCCACATTTAGTATTCGTCATAACCTTCTCTACTGTCAATAATCTGCATACACGTGATAGATGGTCATATATATTTAGAGAGTTCTCCATCATTATCATCTATTTGAGTGGTGTGACATTAACGATCTCACCATTTTTCCAAATGACCTTAATATAACTAAACACACAACTTAATCCTTATTTCTCAACCCTTACCTTACTAGCCATACTGACTTTTCCTAAAAAAAAATCATATTTCCTATTAGATGACCTTCAGTGATGTGAGAGATTTGACTGTTGTTAGATATGGACACGTTACTTGGTTTTATTATGCTGGAGAGATAACTCTATGATTTGTGATTAACATTGTGTGAAGTTGGATTTTTATCACAGGATGATGTCAGTATAATCAAACTCCTCATTTAGACATTTAGTTCAAAGGCGGTTAGAACAAAAAAATACATCAGCTGAAAATTCAGTGAAAACCAAAAATAGACAGTTATTTCATTCTTGAATGAAACTTTCAAGTTATGAGTAACAATGACTCTGCCAGGAATTGTCAGATCCATGTCTCGAGGTGAAGATGATGTCATTGAGACATAATTTGACAGCCTACAATTCCTTAACTCTAGTTAATTCATGATTCCTCCAGATAATCATTCAATGGTATCATAGTTTGTAAATGGAAGTTTTCGAATTATTTACCAAGTTAGACACTATCGTCACTAGTACGTATTATAAGTTTGTATACTTTGAATTTTTTTTCTGGTTAGAATTTGTTTTTAGCAAGGTTGGTATTTAGAACTCTAGGCGGCTCATACCGGTTAATCCGTCATTGATTTGGCACAGTGCTAAGATAGTATAAGTCGTATTCAGATCGGCGACTAAATCAGGTGACAATTAGCCGGGCAGAAGTCACAACACTGTTGTCCAGTATTATTTATATTTATTCTAATCATTACTTTCGCAATTCCAATAAACGTCCAAATTTATTCAAGTTAACATTACATAATGGTCGTTTTAACATCAAATCTAGTTTAATAAGGATCTTAAATTCAAATTCTATATTTACCTTAAATTAGTACAGGACTACATTTACTAGCATAGATATTCTTTCTTCATATTACGTTTCAATACAAAGTGTTTTTATGTTTCTTACATTGTTAAACAAGTCATGTATTTTCAGTGGTACAATTTGACAAGTAATTTACTGAGAGTGACTATCCTATCAGATATATCGTATGTAACCAGGAGTTTTTAACTGTTTAATTTATCTGAAAGCAGCTTTGGTTTATGTAAAATAATTCCATAAATTCTTTCCTTAATTTTGTGATCAAATTAGGTAACACACTGGATAAGGATAAATTTACAACGAACTATCGACCAAATCACAAGTTCTACCCTGAATGACTCAGTTGAATTTCCTATTGTTTGCCCTAGCTTCTAACAGACCAGTCCATACATTTAAAGTTGTGTTATGATTGGTCGACTGTTTTATTTATCATGTAATTGGTTGATTTCATGTGCATGTGATTGGTCAAATACATTAACTTGTCAATATAAATCCGTAGGAGTTAGGAAAATTTGACTAGAATAATGTCTACCAGCGTTGTTACTCCGGTGTATTCGGTCTCTTGTTTGACAGATCCATCATATGATGCAGTTTTGTTACTGAATGATGATATTGAAAATTTACCAAGAACTTTACAGCTGGCTTATAAGTCCTTGAAGGAGTTCTGTGAGGTGAGTAGTATTTGTTTGCATAGTCTACCGAATTACACATGGTTTATCTCTAGTTACAGAATTTAGTTAAATATAAAAATAAAGCATAATGTTTCTCGAGAATTTCCACTTTGCTATGACTAATTCCTAATATTTTTTAAGGTGTTGCTCAATTTTTACAATGACTTGCATAAGGGTCAAGTGTAGTATTCAAAACCTGGCTAGTATTCCTGCACAAAAAACCACTTAATATTTCACATTCGTCTTCAGAATAAATGCTAAGGTGTCAAAATAATTATTAAATATTTGCATTTATATTTCTTGTCCATAAAATTTCTACCGAGATGTACGACTAAACATAGGTTCAAGTTGTATGAAGACCTTCAGCCATTTTTTCAAATCCTGGGCATCATATTATATTACGTTATTCATTCGGTGATGCAATTACTTGTTAATGATACTGATGTATACAAAACTTGCTATTTCCAAATAATTGCCCAGATTCCGATAATCCTGTAGTACATTTCGAATCTACCGTAGGTTTTTACGCTCAATAAATCCTTCGTACTTGATTGATTGATGCAAGCGATTTGACTTTATACGTATACATCTGTTCACGTCATATATTAGTTAGTTAGTTATCAGTTTTCATAACCGATCGGACTTGTAATCTAATGAACGAAGATTGACAGGCTGTACATTGTGAGCCAATTAATTATGATTATGATTAATTCACAACTTAGTTCAATTCATATCTTTACTAGTTTGCAACTGCTATCTCTTAACATTTCACAGCTAACTATCGATAAAAGTTTAGGAGAGTATTCAGTAAAATTTCAAAGGCATTCTGTGGTATCAAGCTTTTAATTATTTATATTGATTTTGCTAGAGTACACGGTATATATCTATATTTAGAACAACATATATAAGCGAACAATATTGTTTTCGGTTAGATCCTCATCAGGCTTTACTCTAATATACAGGAGGTTATCAATAAACTGCATTTCTACTGTCATTACGTTGATGACACCTTCATCATTGCCGATCAGAATATTAGAAAAGAACAACTACTGGAACTATTTAATAACAAACATCCTGCTATTAAATTTACATGTGAAGAGGAAATAAATAACAAACTAAATTTTCTGGACGTTTTGTTACGTAGAAAAGAAAATGGTTCTATCAGCAGAAGTGTGTATAGAAAAAGTTCTTCTCCAAGCCAATACACATATTTTTTAAGCTTTGTGCCTCTTCATTATAAGAGAAACTTAGTTAAATGTCTTACAAATAGAGCTCTTAAGATATGCTCAGTCGACACTATTGATAGAGAATTACAACACATTCATAATGTTTTGACTGAATTGGGATATCCCCTGGGTTTCCTGAAGAAACAATTGCGCGTACAAAACAGGAAAATAGTGACTCTGACAGCTAATAAGAAACCACTTTTCTTGAAACTGCAATTCAATGGTGATTTGGCTAGCGATGTATTACGGGATAGATTGACTAGAGCAGTAAAGAGAACGTTTAATGCTGCCAACCTCTGCCTATCTTATTCGACCCGATCAATGGTGATTCCACAATTGAAGGATAAGTTACCTGGTTATGCCACTTCTATGTGTATCTACAAATTCAACTGCTCCTGTGGAGAAAGTTATGTTGGGCGCATTACCAGGCAACTGAACCAATGTGTTAGTGAACACCTCCCTTCGTGGTTAGGAAAAGGTTACGTCAAAACAATAAGCAGCTCCGTTCTATCACACTTGATCGATAGCGGTCATATGGTGGACAGAAACAAGTCGTTCAAAGTTATTTATCGTATTCCCACTAGTTTTCCTTATTGTGTTCGATCTCGTCTCTTACACATAGCAGAAGCTATAGGAATCCGAGCCAACAAGCCAAGTCTTTGTGTTCAGAAGAAATTTGTAACACCCTTATCTCTCCCCTGGCCTTAAGTAATAAATGAATTTATTTTCTAACTTTCTCTTCGTTTATTATTTTTCTTCACATCCTCCTACCACTTTATTTTCTCTTAAGTATACGTTTCATGGTCCAATTATCTGAACATTTCTTATTACGTCATCTTATAATTTTATAATTGTTATCTCGGTTTCTATATTTTGCTAATTATTGACCTATTTCCGATTATTTAACATTGATTTGAACCTTTATTATTCCTATCAAAACTAATGCACCTGTTGTCACACCATCAATTTGTACTTTTCACATTTTACCTATTATGTAATCTATGCGATTGTTTTCATTGACTCATAAACTACCTTGATTGGTTTTATAATTTCGCACATGCATGTAAATACATTACCGTATATTAGAGTAAAGCCTGATGAGGATCTAATCGAAAACAATATTGTTCGCTTATATCTATGTTGTTCTAAATTTACAATATGAGAATATTTCAAATATATCTATATATATATAAAGTTTGATCTGCTGAATTAGTGAATATTCTATCATAATAATTTTTTAACGTTTACTTCCAAGGTTAATCCTAAGTTTTCAGATGAAATCAGTGTGATTCCATTCCCAGAACATCCATCAAAAAGATTAGTAAGTAATTTTTTCAATGATTTCTGTTTGCATCTTTTTTTCCATTTAAAATCTTAGAGTATGCAAATCAGGTACATTTATATTTGTTCTCTATGAAGCGGCTTTGATAGCCATTTATCAGTCAATGTTTTTCTAAGAAACACAATTTCTTCATCAATGCATTCAGTACTACAGATCTTACTTATTCGGTAACATGGAGTGAATAAGATTCCTCTTTTTGCTTAGTGGAACTCAGCTATGGAAGTTGGTTAACTGGGTCATTCTATGGTTATTTTCCGCAAATTGACCTTTTTAAAGATATATATCTCTTTGTCAGAAGCGTATCAGGGGATGAGGTAGAATCACCTAATTCCTTTCAGAGTTGTATTTACATAACTGTTGAGTTCTATTTATGTATGGAGACATTTAAAATACTGATTATTCAGTTCTCAGTTGAGTGCTGAAATCAACGAGCGGGCATTTTATTTGATTGGTTAATTGCCTTATTTCTCACGGTAAACTTTTATTCAGTTGAGTTTATTTAATCTATGTAACTCTCGAAATCTGACCAATAAAACTGTTATGATTGTATTGTGTATGTGTTAAAAAATTAGTGCATGAATAGTTATCAGATATTTACAACTTAGGTAATGAGCAGTAACACAAAACTTTACAATTCAATCAACGTGAACTGAATCGGTCCTCAGTTTCTTAAGACTACCAGTTATGCATTAAGTACACACTTCAGATAGTATCCATTTATTATGAAATATATGCTTGCTTAATGCCTAATAAAAATCACAAAGTTTCAATATCATTTTAAGCCTCGATTATCAATTTCAGCATGATAGGATTTTTGGATTTGTAAGTCAGTCTATTCTTTAAAAATATTTCATAAGGAATTTTTAAATTATTTTAGATTTTTAGTCCAACTGGTCGGTTAAATACAGATGAAGCGGACATTCGTAGCGTGTATGATGCTGCTGTGAATGGCATGTTAAAGTAAAGTTTACATTGACTTTATATTCTTGTGGGTACACAAATTGATCTTTTGTCTGATTCAAATATAAATGATGATTTCACTTTTAAGGCTATATTGCATTGTGATCCCAACCACTAGGTCGCAAGCTTGAACCACTTTCACTTTCGATTGATGGTACATACTACTTATATCTGTCGACATCAGTAGCACACATAGTAGTATTGATTTTTCTTTAACATAAAATTTTCTTTCAACTTGACACTTTTTACTCTATGATGACAGGGTTAGTTTTTCGTTTTCATTTCAAGCGTTCTGGGCACCTTATAGTGATACCTTTTCCGTTCGTTTTACGGTATTTCGAATTTTTTGCGGAAACCTAAGTCTCATTCCTTATTCTGATTGACTTGTCCCTCGTACTTCTACTTCTTAAAATAGTCTCTTGGATAAATTTAAATATTCCCGTATTGTCAATTAGAACAACGTATATGAATGAACGACATTGTTTTCAACTAGATCCTCATCAGGCTTTACTTTTAATATATAGTAATATTTCACAGGTTGAAATCATGAGTCAATTGAAGCTAGACCGCCATGGAAAACCTGGGTGCGGGATGGTGAATGCGCACTGCTGAGGAGTCCCATACTAGGACGAAACGGCCGTTCCGTGCTTCCAGGTTTTCCATAGTGGTCTAGCTTCAATTGACTCATGATTTCAACCTGTGAAATTTCTAAAACTCTCCACAAAACCCATTCTGATATAGTAATATTTAAATACACATATGAAATTGTTATATCAAGTATGACGGTTTATGAGTCAGTGATAACAATGGAATAGATTACATAAACAAACATAATAAGCAAAAAGTACTAATTGATGGTGTGATGACAGGTGTAATTGTGATAAGAATAATAAAGGATTGAGTCAATGTTTCATAATAGGAAATAGATCAATGACTTGAAAAGTATAGATACTGAAATGACATTTGTTAAAGATGGTGAGATTACGTACCCGGAGAATTGGACAGTTAAGCATATATTTGAAAGAACGGGGTAGAGAGAAAAACATCAGGACATATAGTATGGGAAGTAATAATTTTTATGACTACAAAGATTTGAATTGTTAACTCGAATCCCCATAGCTTCTGCTCTATGTAAGAGACGTGATGGAACCCTATAAGGAAAACTAGCAGGTATAGGATAAATTATTTTAAATGACCTATTTCTAAGTTTCCTGGTTTTGCTAAATCATGTATGCCTACGAATTCAGCTACTCCTCTAGAGAAAGTTATATTGGGTACACAACCAAACAACTGATAGAACGAGTTAGTGAACATCAGCCTTCATGGTTAGTCAAAGGTATAATCAAAACAATGTGCAACTCTGTCTTATCATGTTTCGTCGGTATCGGTCATGTAGTAGATAGACCTTCACCCTCTTCTTTACAATCTGTATTTGAAATGGTTATTCACGCAGTTCATTCCTTTAGGATTACATAATGTAATTGATTATTGTAGCTATAAGTTTATTTTCCTAAATTTCGACCTACTTTTTATGTCGCAATAAATATACATGAGATCAAGCTTTTTTTTAATTATTCATATTAATATCATTCATAAAACCTGTTTCCTCACTACCGATTTTCACTCATTTATTATGACACTGTGTAATCTACATGATTGTTACTGACAACCTACTAATGACCTTTGTTAGTTTAATATTAATCATGTATGCATAGGAATATCGTTGTATGTTAGAATCGAACCGGATGGATATCTAATTGTAAACGATTTTTGTTCAATTACATGTCTTATTCCACAAATTTGTTTTATTTAGCTCAATATTTTTATTATTAAATAAGAATACTCCTTTGTATTAGTTTCATTGATACTATACTGCTGATCTTCATTTTAATAATATAAAGATGGAATAACATGATATAGGCAATGATGCTTGAGAAATTTGTAACAGAACCAATAATTGTATGCTTCTCTTCATTTTTTTTTTAAAAATCTTCCCTTCTGATCTGTTCAGATTCTGTTCGTTCCTTTTGCTTTATAATTTTCTACTACAATTGATTCACTTAATATGATAACTTAGATGTCTTTTCTCTATTTATGGCAGATCGATATATCTTTCCTATGATTAACCACAGGTAACAACTTATATAACATATTGAATGTAAATGTTAACAGTAGCTTCGTTATAATGTATCCTTGTCAAATTCAGTAATATTAAGTTCCATTTTTCAAATTTCACTATTCTATATTCTTTGCTCTTATATTTAATAGGTTGTTAAACATAGGTTGTAAATCACCGCTATTATGTTGTGGATCATTCATATCAGCACCGAAAGATTCTCAATGGTCTGAACGTAATTGTTTATTACTAAATGCTGTATTGGGAGCATATCATGCATTGTACACAGTAAGTTTTTCATGTTTTTTTCCAATTTTTATTTTGTTCTACACAAAATAATTTAACGTATATTGTGTACCCATTGACTAACTGTGATTAGCTTATTGCAACTTTCTAAGAAATGGGGGAAACTAGAGAAAACAATATGAAAAGGTGAGAGTTAAAAGTCAAGTGTTTAGGAAGGTCTGAAAGAAGTGTATATACTAAGTTCCAACACCACATATGTATGCTGTGAAGGGTTTCTACTATATTTGCTGAACACTTTCTAAAAGATAAGAACTTCATTTCTTCTCTGTTTGTGTTTAATGTATTCTACCACCACTGGTAATGTTACTACTTCTATTATTGTGGGATTTATTTTGATAATTTCATTTCGCTGCCATATCATGTGAAAATTTAAACCGATTCATATACACTCCAGATTATATATTGGTTATGACTGACAAATTGATGAATCAGACAATAGTCTCCAGTGTTTCGTGTAGTTCAATGGTTCTTCAACTTACTTTATCTCATAATGATGAAAATAATCGTTGAATTGAAACCTCTAACAATCCACTGAAGTAAAAGTTGTTACCGATTTCTGGATGAATAATCACACATTTATATTTATGAAAAATGTGTAAAAGTGTATTTTCAGTTAATCGAATTACAAAAATAACATTAAAGGGTGGTCGGAATACGAAATACGATAAATACTTTTATCTGTTTTAGTTCGTTGTCAGTTATTATTCATTTTTTTAGTCGATTGAATGTATACTTATCCTATTGTTCACTCTTGAGAATAAAGTGATCTTGAGGGCAGTTCTCAATTCCCGGTCACCCACACCCTGGAAGGGTTTTTCTGGAGGTACTTGAAAAGGAATTTGGATTAGAAGTGGTCTTAGTGACCTGAGAGCGTGACTGCAGTGCCCAAGGGACAACTGCCTGAGGTCGGTCACACACGACCTTTTTGTGAGTAATTTTCGTGTTAGCTGCGCACTTGTTGAGACCTTACCACCGTAGACGGATATCCGTGGGATAAGGCGAGGTGTGCATTTCTAGGGTCGACCTTTTCCAACCCCACCCCTCCTTGTGGGAAGGCAGCATCGCTGTCATGCTGGTTGTCTGAAGGAAACACTTTACTGTTGTCACACCTCTGTACAGTCATCAGCAGTACGACTTCGCCTTCGGACTTTGGGTTTATTGCTTTTAGTCTCACCGCTCTTCAATCGACCTGTCTGGCATGGTAGGACCTTGAGGAACGGTCGTTCCATTCAGTATAACTCGGTTGATTCATCACAATAGGCAAGCCCGACCATCACATCAAGGTAGCAACAACGATCAGGCTATTGTTCACTCGATCTATGTAATTAAATAATGAATATTTACCCTCACATATTATTTGTGCTGGTATGCATAAAAATAAGTATTTGAAAATTCCAAAATTGAATTTTCATCGACTGCCTTCATGAAACCAGCCACTCACTTCCTAAATAATAATAATATGCGCATATTCTTTGAATTATTCATTTAGCCTCTTGAGGTTCGTGAAATGCTTCCTGAGAAATTTCCTAAAGCTATTCGATTTGGGGTGATGGAAGCTAATGACTCCTTACTAGATATCGCTAAAGCTATTGAAGAAGGACGAACATTAGCACGAGATATTGGTGGTTCGGATCCTGAGCGAATGGCAGCCCCAAAAATTGTTGAATACCTACAAAATGCTTTAAATGGTCTTAAAGGTGTTACAATCACTGTCGATAAGGTTGATGCTAAGAAATACCCATTAATGGCAGCGGTAAATAGAGCAGCATCAGGTGAGTTTCCTTTGATCGTTTGAATTTTCCCATTCACCGTTATTTCTAAAACTTGACACAACTTGCTTTTAATAAAATTGATTTGTTGTATGCTATTGAGCTCTGGTTGGCCACTAAACGAAGACAATCAGTCTTCTCCATGCGTTAAGTATTATACAGATGTATGTTGTATGTTTCTACTCAGAATTCACTGTATTTGTATGGAATGCTGATGTTGTGTTAAGTAGACAACTGTTTGGGTCTAGTGATCGTATAATCCTGTGTCCAGATCGTATTATTATGTCATATTAGCATATCGCGGCAAACGCGATAATAATGCACTTTCCAATTTTATCCAATTTTAATAAATATTATGTATCAGAAGGGGTTTTGTGGAGATTTTGGAAAGTTCACTGGTTGAAATCATGAGTCAATTGAAGCTAAATCATCGTGGAAAACCTGGAAGTACTGGATGGCCGTTTCGTCCTAGTATGGTGTACGATGGCGCAACTTCGTGGATTGGTTGGAGTTAGGTTAGACATTAACACCGTTGGATACCGGCTCAGTGGTCTAATGGTTTAGCGCTCGCGCGCGGGACTGATAGGTCCTGGGTTCGAATCTCGTGGGAGGCGGGATCGTGGATGGGCACTGCTGGCGAATCCCACAATAGGACGAAACGGCGGTTCAGTGCTTCCAGGTTTTCTATGATGGTCTAGCTTCAATTGACTCATGGTTTCAATCAGTGAAATATTATGTATGTTAATATTCTGATAATCGAATTTTCTTCGCACCCCGTGGTATTATTAATTTGTTATTATTGTTATGAATAACACTCAATGTTTACATTCAGATGATGGATTTCAAACTTGCTCTTTCATTTCCTAATTGTAATTTTTTTCTTATATGATTATTTGTGGTAAACAACCGATTATGTAATTTTGTTTTTAATCTTTACTTTAAAACAATTAGTCTTTGATAAATTTCGATGATGCAATGAGGAGATGAAGTTTATCAGAATTATGTGATATATATTTGCGCAATATATTTCGAATAATCTGATCACACACAATATACTTGTTAAGACATTTTTATATGAAAATTAAAAGGTCAACTAGACAGATTAAAGGTAAGCCGTAACAAAAAATAATAATAAAGTACACAAAAACAATGTGATTATCAGTATTATTAGGGTAGGTTAAAGATAAGGACAAATTGTTTTTAAACGCATAAAGGGGGTTTCAGTTTCCGTATAGCCAAGGCTTCAACAAACCTTAGATATATCTTTGAAGGCTTTTGTATAACACTACAAATATTGACTTGAAGTCAACCTTATGACCAGTCTCAATCAAATGTTTCGAAATGGAGGATGATGTCTGTCTATCCTGTGATCTTATTTAACCATTGAAATATGTGTGATCAGATTGTTCGAAATGTATTGCGCAAATATGTCACATAATTCTGATAAACTTCATCTTCTCATTGCACCATGGAAATCTTTATTTTCTTTGAGTTATTTAAAGGTTATAAATTTTGGAGAAAATTTTATGTTTAATTGTAAGATCTACACATTAGAGTGATAGCAAGTAAATCAATTGAAAAGATACATTTCTTCGTTTAACTTGTCCTTTTAATTCATCATATTTTTTAAAATTTTCTTTGAACTAATGAAAATCACTCCCACCTTCACTTCGATACCTGAATATTTACAAATTTATATCCTGTTCTAGCCCCGATTACTTCAGAAATATCAGTGGGTACTGTAACATCCAAACTGTTAGTTTCGGATTCTAAATAGCTCCTAGTAATACATTAGTTATTCGTCCTTCTTCACAGGCACATTCTAAACTATCGTTGGGTAGAATAAAGTACTATTCTAAATAATCATAAATATGAATCATACAAAATAGCTAAATGAATGGTATCACTAGGCTGTTCAACCAGTGAGTTATTCAGTAAAATGTGTACAGTCGAATCCAGAATATATCGAGTAGATAAATTGTTAACGAACACAAAAATGGTTACTTAGCGAAGAAGAAATGTGTCCCTGCTAAGCAAGGTATGTAATTCTGCCAGCTAGTAATCAAGCGATTTGATCACTGAAACTCAAGCAGTCCATAATTTGTACAAACTTTTTGCAGTACAAACTGAAAACATCTTCGACTAACTTTTAAGGAATATAAACTGCCCAGAAAAGACACTTCCCGCTACATGAGGACTTTATTCTACAGTAAAACAATAAAACATTTCGAGCAGTAATCAACCAAACTCAAAGCAAATATGACAGCCGCCAAAGAAATGTGATTGAGCAAAGTGAAATTGAGACAATCATTGAAATACTGTGTAACAACAAGAGAATGTTCTGAAAACTAAAGTTATGATCGAAATAAAGTCAATCTCCTGTGAAACCAATAAGTGAAACGAATATACGGAAACAAAATTATCGAGAATATTAATCTTGTATTTAAAGGATGAAAATTAATTATTTCGATGTAAGAAACATATGGGAAGAACCCTCTTCCCCCATATACACGTGCATATCCACACAATAAGTTGCTTACAGCTATTTTGAAAATTTTTCTCCTTTCCTTTCACCTTACTACTATAAAGTCATTCGTTACACTGCTTTATTTATAACTTATCTACTTTTCTGTTATTTATGATTGTCAACAGTGTGTACTAAGGGCTTCCGGTTGGCCAATGGTACTTGCAAATCAAGGAACGATTGAACTATTCTCATATGAATGGTTCTGTTGTCAACGGCTGGAACACAATACTTCACACAATCACCCGCTAACACAACAAGAAAATAACTGTTCAAACAGTCAACTTGAAATTGTACAACTCAGTATATTATATCTTATCGAAAGTACGATCTTCAAGCATGCAGAAAATCATCTTACTTAAAGTAGTAACAACTAGTTAGAAAAGGGCAGAGGTCGTATTAAAGGTTGACTTGGAAGAAATGAAATTTAAGATTATCGTCACTAGTAAGAATTCTAATATTAGAAATGGATACTGAGTAAAATCCCGTAATCACACTAACAGTTTTACTCGTTAGTAAGACCACACCACACCATAATTATTCAAACAGGACACTGATACAATAGAAAATGTCTATCAAAGCTGTTTGTGCAAGCCCAATATGTAGACGTGGCGATTTTTTGTATTCTTAATAAAATAGTTATTTAAGATAACATTCATATTCAGTTTCTTTTAAAAATAAATCCCATGAGTATAACTAACTTTTATGTCATTCAAATGTGAATACTTTTTAAGGAGAAGGAATAAATAAACATTTTTTTCTTTCAGTTGTACCTCGTCATGATGGGAGAGTTGTTCATATTGATTATAAACCGTCGAATTCCAAAGAGATCGATACATCATTATTTCTTGTCGGTAAAGGTATCACTTATGATACTGGTGGAGCTGATGTTAAAGCCGGTGGAATTATGGCTGGGATGCATCGAGATAAATGTGGTGCTGCAGCAATAGCTGGTTTAATGAAAACTATTGGATTACTGCAACCAGACGGTATAAGTGTTTCAGCAGGTTTGGCATTTGTGCGAAATAGTGTTGGAGCTGAATCATATGTTGCCGATGAAATAATCATTGCACGCTCTGGACAACGTGTACGTATTGGTAATACAGATGCTGAAGGTAGAACGGTTATGGCTGACTTATTATGTGAAGCAAAAGAAAAGGTTAGTAGTTATAGTATTTTTTAGTCAATGTTCAAATATCTTTTACACATAGAAACTCACCAGTAGTATTGTGAATATCCCCGTTTGATGAGTTATCTGAATTAGTGTTAAGTTTTAGCCTATAAAGTCTTTCATTGTATGCTTTGGAATGTTGCATTGATTTTGTGAAAGTTACTTATATTTACGATCATTATCATTATTATGTTAAAATATTCAAAAATGTCATGATTTAGTTCTCCTTTTTGTACTTCCTACCTATGTTGCCACTTTAACGTAAGCATGATAGAAATTTGGTTTTGTTGTCTTGCCTGTATGAATCGAGACACGCGGAGTCATCTCATACTGTCATGATTGAATGAATATTAAGGACTTTGTAACTTGACTATTTTTATTTTTATTTTATAGTTGTTAAATAACTGGGTGATTGTATTTCCACATTTATTGTACAAGTTCCTGTTGGATTCGTTATTCGTTTTGCCATTTTTCAATTATTGCTAATTTATTATTTCCCTCTTGGTCTCATAGTAGCATGGCTTCGAGATAGCTCCTTATGTTTCGTTTATCAATCACCTTGATAACCGTTATGGTCCACCAGGGTGCTTGATACCTGTGTGGTTGCGCCACAGGATTGAGCTGTACTATTCAGATTGTAGCGTTAAAGCCTGTACGGTGTCTGGTTCCCCTGCTGAACGTGGTTGAGCTGTACTGTTTGGGTTTCTACGTGAAAGTCCGGATGGTGTCTGGTTCTCCTGAAAACCAATGTAAAATTGCCCTGGCCCACAAGGGTATATTATATTATATAACTGTGATAACCGTTAGCATATAACTCTCAACGGTGTAACAGTTCAGAAGGCAATGAGATGCGGCGACTACAGTTTATTATTGGACAGCACAGATAACAAAGTTACAAGCACATCGGGTGAATTGGAGTAGAGAGGCTGATACAGAGGTGGATTTATAGTCAAATCGCATCAAGGCGTATACATATAGGAAAGAGAATGATTTATTGAAAGATATTCAAACGATTAACATTTAAGCTAGAGAGAAGTGTGCGTAGGTTGTCACATGTAATCAAGCATACACGTTTATACAGACATGATAGTGATCATAATAATACAAAGAAAAAGACAAATTGTTACTGTCTTGATAACACTGTTAAATAAGTTAATTGAAGAGAAGGGCTCGACAGAATTAACCGTAATCAAAATTAATTGTAGGAGAGTTGCTATAGTCTGTTATTTATAAACCTTAGTTGTTCGTAAACTGTGGTCTTTTTACAGTACGATGATGTCTGATAATTCATATATAAACACATAAGTGTTCGAGTTATGATGACTGGTTGACCGAATACAGATAGGAGGTTGCATGTTGCCGCGTTCTTCTACCACAGATTGAACGCCGAAACGGAAGAAAGGTACGGGTTATGGACCAACCATTGCTCAAGGTTAATTGCTGCTAGTTAATTCATGTCAGTGGTCAAAGCATAGAACATAAGTTTCTAGACAAGAAAGTATCCTCGGGTGATCGATTGAGGGGCGATCAAAATACATTCTATTAGAATTTCGTTAAAAAATAGGAAACTATCCTGTGTTTGTAATTATTATCAAAGATGTAAGTTAAACTAATCTACTATGTTAGTGATTGTGTAGAGGATAAATGAATTACTTTTTATGTATGAGTAAAGGTGAATTCTAGTCCCAATACATGAATGTTTACTTCATTCCTTGGAAGTACTTGTGATTTTCTGAAGTGATTGCCTAGGTGCTCAAATTTCATTCGGTTTAAAAAGCTCCAATTCTCAGAAAACACTTTATTTAAGTGCTGTAGTATAGACAGTCAAATGGTATACAATTAGAACTTATGTTGGTATTTATGATTTATACCTCAGTTTATTCAAGTCCTACTAAGCAGGCTATTTCTCAAAATATATCGCTTCATCTAAGCAATCATTCTCTTTTTATTTCCTATATTTGACTTTGTTTTCTACAGGCACTCACAGCTAAGAATCCATTTATATTTACTATAGCCACATTAACTGGACATTCTATTCGAGCTTACAAAAACTTCACGGTAAATTTAAAACTGTTTGAACTAATTAACTGTCAGTATTAGTATCTACATTTATTCTGCGTTGTGTCTGTTACAGTAAACACTTTTCTGTTTTAAACAATCAATATTCAATTGAAAGGATACACATTTCATAAAGATTTTTTCAAAAAAGAAAAATATTTGGTTTCTAACTGACAAAAAGGGTTTTTATTCAGTTTGCTACCCAGGTGTTTGTTTCTTAATATTTATCATGAATATGTACCTGAAGCTTTCTTCACTATTTATTCAAGTAGATGAATTGTAATTATTCTGGCAATGTCTCTGATAGATGGAGTTTCAGAGTTTATTAGGACACTTGACTTTCGTCTAGGAATCGAGTACAGTTTGGTAATGAATTCCAAAAAGTAAGAAACGTAACCTGTGAATTAGTTCACTATTGTCTTCAACAGCCGAACGTTATCTACAGAACACAAGAATATTAAGATGAGAATAGGTTTAAAGAAGACAAAATGTACCCAGCCCGAAACACGGAATATGTTCACTAAACGACTGACTATTCAAATGTTGGTCAGTCTCACTTTTTTTCCTTCACAAGCTTCAAAAGCACGTAGAAAACGGACTGTGCAATAATTTTTCATAGGAGAATGACCTAGTAACTAAGGTAATTCTTATAAAGCAATGTTATAGTTTTCCTTTCCTATTATTTACACCGTTTTGTACCATTTCGATAATTCAGTTTATTGTTTTCCTTTAATTTGGTAGGCTTTGATGGATAATGGTCCAGCACGAGTTAAAAAGGTATCATATGAATTACAAAATTCTGGTGATCTAATCTCTGATATTGCCGAGGTAAGTTTTCCGTTAAAACAATTTATTTCGTCACAGAAGATGAGGATTACGTGAATAACAATTATTATGGTTTGTACTGAATTCGTTTTATTTCACTTTTTCTGTGTAGTAATTTATATCATAAATTGACTGAAATGGTATGAATAAGGTAGGTTATAGGCTTTAAAATATCAAGTAACCTATTCTAGCGGTAAAATTTGCTTATAAAGAATGCGGTAGTTTGGTATCGACGGCGCACGATTTGTAACCGTTAAGTCGAAGATTTAAAATCTCCACTTACTTTTGAGCATTGGGCTGGTATCATTACTCTCCACACAAATCTTTATGTAGTAAATGGGTCGGAAAGACAAAAAAGGCTTACAAAGGACTTTCATAGTCATTTAACTTCAATTAAGTAAGGGGATAAATGGCGTGATCAACCGCAGACGACATGCCCAAATTACTTTCGAGAAATGGGTATATTAATACTACTACTGGTTGATAATACTAATTGAGAGTGTGATATTGAGCAAGTAAATTAGTGAAATGGATCCCGTTTGAGGAATGTAATTCAGCAAGTGAGACGCGTGTGTGGAATTCTTATAAGTGTTCCAATTAAGCAACCAAGATACACATGCAAATCATCATGGGAAAAGATTGGTTACATCCGGTGTGATACTTTTACGGAAAATTGCTATGCACCAGGGGTTTGTAGACTGTCTAATCTTGAGGTATTAGAGATGAAGCATACTATCCAAAGCACAATTAAAGGGAACAAAATTACCCCCAGAAAACAGCATTTCATTATGTCACATGAGAATATTAACAGTTACTGGGAATTCATTAGGCGAAATCTTTTGGTAGTAGCGCATGCAGAATAGACTAGTACAAGAATAAACTAAAATATTGGACTAACAGTATAAATTAATTACTAATTACGGAATTGAAGTCATATAAATGGTTCAATATAACTCAACCTAGTTACTAACAGCGAAACCAAATGAAGCAAGTGGATGAAATTTGAGATTTGTAATCAAATTAATGATATGTAGCTCATAAGATTGTCCTTATTGTATTTTTGGATTTTGTATGAAGAGTACAAACCATATTTAAAACAGTAAGGATACATTGCATTATATCAACCATAGAAAGAAATAAGGTAGGAAATATTTTGTGGATGACTACTCACTCGATCTCATCATAAAGCCTTTATCGAACTCATTGACAAACACAAAATCAAATATAGAAACCAAGAGAGATTACCGTACTAAACATGAAGGGCACGTAGAAAATTACGGCCATGTTATTGAGTTCATTTGAAATAGACTTAGCACATAAATCACTAGTATTACTTAAATCAACGCAAACCGAAAGGTGAAATGATAAATAGGGATGAACAGCATCTACAAAACAAACTGCTGCAACTGTAGAAAATGAATCATCAGACAAAGGTTCCATCTTCTACTCTTGGATGAGCATCGACTTATAGTGAAGCGTCACGACACATCTTCGCTTATATCAACGCATTTAGACAATATTGGATGCAAACTGCAATGGGAAATCTTTGAAATTTCGGACATTTCTAACATCAGAAAATTTGGAAACAAACAATCAATATATCGCAAAAGGACTTAACGTATCGACCAATTACTAAATTCATAAACAAATATAAGATTGGGGTTCAGATCAAAGGGGAAGACAATGTAAGTGTGCAAGCAATAACAAAACTATTGTTGACAGCAACCAATTAAAATTATTGTTGGCAGAACAAGCTGTCAGTCATTTGAAGAGAGATTTCATTAACTCCTTTATTCCTAAGATTTACGTTGCTTATTTTGTCGAAAAAGACAATGAAAGTTTTATGTTTTAACTATCAAACTAAAAAAGCACAACCTCATAAAAATCTTACTTTTACTCTGAGTAATTTCATATGGTGGCCAATCTGTTCAATTTTCTTTGTACATGACAAAATCAGGGACTGTTGAGTATATCATCATCATAACTTATCGATAAATAAGGATATGGAAGCGGGAATGAAATTCATTAATTCTGTTTTCTATCACTTTAGATTACAATCTTATCTCACTTCTGTGTCATTTAATTAAGCGAAATTATACATACATACATACAAAAATAATTTATACATTGTGCCAATAAACGTGATTGAAATCTCTAGCTTTTTCAGTCATACTAAAGTGAAAGTATGCTTTACTGATGACCCTCGGTGACTTTCGAAATGACCTCGTGAAAATCAATTTTCAGCCCATTATAATGTAGATAATATACATGTAACCTGACAGCCTGAAATGTGTTGGGGTTAGAATATGTAATTTGACTCATGGGTAAAGGTGTGTAGTGAGGTTAAACGTTAAGAGTAATTATTATTTAGCGGAAAACACCTTCCAGGTACATGAATGAATACTTATGCATTTAGTTATTTGATTTCATATATCGATGGCCTTTAAGTTTCCTTGAAGACTCCACAAGTCATATATATAATAACAGAATTAATGTCAGTTTATAGGTATAATCCGCTTGATATATATAGTAATATTAAATGGATCCCATTCTTTAGCATCCCCATGTTTATCAATTGTAAGCGTTCTAGTGATTCGGTTTGTTTCAAGGTTTTGTTTATTTCCTACTCAGCTCTTAAAAGGGATATAAGCTATCCTTAATTGTTTGTTAAATTGGGTTCAGAAATCCAATAGCCATCATCGTAAATCTGATTGGTTTGTAGGTAAAGTATTCTTTTACCTAAACATATAAGAAATATATCATAATTTAGTATCAGCTGGAATAGAATCAGTGAGAACTAGAAAGTTACAAATAACTGTTTTGTTGTCAGTCAGTCAACTAAAACGTAGGACCAGGCACATATGTGCATCGGTCCAAGTTGTCATACATCATTAGCACAAGATGAACACCGAATCGTTGTAGTCGTTGTTGTAGTTAAGTAGTGTTTAGAAATATATTTGTAATCAAATCCTACATGTTTAGATGTCATGACGTGCATAACATTTTTATGTCACCTAGTTTAAATCTAATAGTTCGACCTCTCAACTCTCATCAATTTCTGATGTAATACGGACCCGTCTAAACGGATAAGAATTATCATTACTCCAATAAACTCTAACAATTTTCTTTCTATATGTATAAGCATATTATTGCTTCCTTTTTTATGAAAAAAATCAGATTTCTACTATTCGTAAAGAAGATTATGCTATGAACAAGGCTAAAAGTGAATATGAAGACCTAGTACAGTGTAATAATCTGGCAAGCAGCGGTACACCACGAGGTCATCAAATGCCAGCGGCTTTTTTGGTTGTTGCTAGTGGCTTAAATAAGGTAAGCGTTGAAAAATGTGATAGAAGTGTTTTTATTCCATAATAAGACTATTTTTTTTATCAGGATTGGTTTTTATTCGTTTGTGGCTTTCATTGTGATCTACAATCTCCGAAAGAGGTCGGTAATTGACAATTGTCTTTTCATCTTCCTAAATTGATAGTTACCGGTCAAACTTGAAATTGTTATGAAAGATTCAGCCAGTCAGTCATATGCAACATGGTACCTGACACATATGCGTCGTCTCAATTTAACACACCACATCAGTAAGGATTGATGAAATTATCAAGATAAGTCTTTCTCATGAGAAACTACTATTTAAACTCTAGATAATTTCACCTTATGACAGTGAGTATTATTTATGAGTCAGCTATTCAATGAGGTCAAGAAACTGATTCATCTCTAAATTGTGTCAGTTTATCCAACTGTACTATCTCATAACACATTGATACATTTATTGCAGCTACCACTTTTCACTAGTCCCATATACACTAGACTGTAATAATTTGGGTTTCTTCAAAAAAATTAAAATTAATCTACAAATTAGAACAATAAGCTTGTATCTACCTATTTCTAAACCGTGTAATCTGTTTTCCAAGTGTTCTACCTACTCTGTGCTTTCTTAAATTAATGATACTCTTTCCCGCTCCTGTTGACTGTGACATATTCCACACCACTACTACATTAATACTACATTAATTCAGGGAACATAAAAATACAATTGTATAATGATTTAATAATCATAAAACGCAAATATAAACAGTGATTGTCTACGAATTTGTTCCAAAAGTTACGACGTTCTCAGTATCCGCTGGTTTAAACAGTCTGATGTCTGCAAAACAATCGGCATCGTTGTTTCTAGGCTGAATGGTACAAGAATTTCATAAGATATCACATTATCTCAAACCTCAGGTCGCTTCTATTATTCTAATAGAAACGCAGAGTGATAATATTTGTGGATAAATGCGTTAAACTATGTGTTTGATCTACAGCTAGGGAAAGTTGACTGGGTATCATGGCCGTGTCCTCTTATTATCGATAAAGTGGAATTCCAACCTATCAGTCATAAGCTGCAAACTGATTGCCTTCACTGGTAAGTAACAACTCTCGTTTGGGATTTTTTCGTTCACTAATTTATAAAGTGGGGTTGTGGTGCGTGCTACTTATATCGATGTGTGTAGTATATCACGCGAGTTAAAAACGCAATGTCTGGCAGCAGAAGATATGGGAAGATCAAGAAAGGAAGAGAGACAACACAATGCAATTTGTAAGGAAACGCATGAACAATGAAATGTGAGGCAATGGATTGATGTTTGCAACAGGAACAGTCCATGTTGATATGATGCATTGATATTTTGCAAATTAAAGATTTACTATATGGTTTTTCTATTTTACCAAGTAACTCTGTAATTTGTGCTAAATACAATTCGGTTATCCCCACCTGTGTTCTCCTTCACTACAGGGCTATTGTTTAATTTAATGTTTGACAAGAGAAAGTCTATCAATAAGCAAGTCTCTTTTAATCAATGTTAACTACTAACATTGATCAGGATGATTTGATCCACCTCATGTTCAGTTAGCATGTTGTAGAATTTAATCAGATTTCGCTTATTCAGACTGAGTTCGGCTAAACACTTAGTAACATCTTCAATCATTAAACCACAATAAGGACTCATATATAAGTATGAAGTGATATTTCATTATTATATTTACCTTACTAAATGCTTTCATTTTGTAAATTTGAATCAATTGTTTTTTCTCTTTTTGTTTTGTAGCATGGTCTTGATGCCAAAGTGCAAATTCCTTACACTAATGTAGATGTAGCCGGTAGTGCAGGTGAAATTAACGTAACACCAACTGCTGCTCCTTTAATGATGTTTGCAAGACGATATATTTTACCACGACTAAGTTTTAAGTAACCATTTGACAATTATCCAATTTCTTCAATTATTCTGAATATTCTAGTTTAGATTTATTCGAATTTCGTTTATATCGCCTTTCTTGTGATCATAAAATAATGATTTTTAATGGTGTAATTTTTCAATGGGTATTTTATTGTTGAAAATTGAACAATGTAATAAAATACTGACATATTAGTAATTTACATTGGTTTTTATTGCAAATTACGGTAAAATTACTTACTTATGACTACTCCCAATGGAGGATGAAAAAGTAAATGGGACTGAAGAGAGAGAGGGGAGGGGGAAGGAAGGGAGGGAGGGAGAGATGAAGGGAGAGAGTTTAAGAGAAAGAGAATGAGTAAATCAAGTATATAACAATTGAATTTGTTAATGTGCTAATTTAACCGTATAAATTTTCCATTAGGAAAATTGAGAAAAGAAAAAATGAAAAAAATTCATCAAGCATAATAAATAGAGTGAAACATGATTTAAACATTTACTGAATGTCTATAACTAAGACAAAAAACAAAACTATTTTATCACACGGAAATTAAGAGATAACAAAGTTTTATAGTTTTTCATTTCGGAATACATGTGGGGTGGAGGAGTAAGGAACAATTATTGTTAGATAAATACATTTTGTATTTATTATCTAATATTGATAGTTTACCAGATGAATTAATCACCTTTTATGGATAGATCTTTATTGGTTTGTGTAAATTATCCAGTAGTAAATTGTTTGATACAGTGAAATCTTTCGGAACAATATTCAATTTCCAAAATCATAAGAATATAGTTTTGAATATTATTTCTTCTACTTTAGTTTAATCTAACTGGTAAGATTATATAATTTTCAATAATGGAGTTGAGTGAACTATTGAGTTTGATTAAAATCACAAACCGATGTCTGTTAGACAACCAGTGAAAACTTGCAAGAGCTGAACGATGATATTCCTTAAACTTTATACTATCGAAGTATGAATTAAAAGGATACTCTATGAGTTTGTCTTTGTTTACTGTATTAAATTGAAGCTAATAAGTAGTAGATTTTAAAACGTTTGTTTCATAATGTGTAATATTTGATTCATATCAAGAATCATCCTCAAATGAAAATTAGATCTTTATAGTTGTCAATTCAGAAGTCGAATTTTCATTTACATAGACTAGTTGATTAACTGAAAGATGAATTACAATAATAAGATTTGAAAACTTCTTAGTGGAATAAACTTATTTTCTTAGTTACACCTGTTGCTCCCAATGAAACATAGGCCGCCGACCAGCATTCTCCAACCCACTCTGTCCTGGGCCTTCTTTTCTAATTCCATCCAATTATTGTTCATTTTTCTCATGTCTATCTCTATTTCCCGGTGCAATATGTTCTTTGGTCTTTCGCCTCTCCTTTGGCCTTGAGGATTCCATGTGGGGGCTTGTCTTGTGACGCAGTTGGGTGCTTCCCTCAATGTGTGTCCTATCCACTTCCAGTGCTTCTTCCTGATTCCTTCCTCCACTGGGGTCTGGTTTGTTCTCTCTCATAGTAGGTTGTTGCTAATAGTGTCTGGCCAACGGATCTGAAGTATTTAGCGTAGATAAATGTTAATAAACACTTGTATTTTCTAGATGATGGCTTTCATAGTTCTCCCGGTTTCTGCCCCATATAGTAGAACTGCCTTGACATTTGCATCGAAAATTCTGACCTTGGTGTTGGTTGACAGTTGTTTTGAGTTCCAGATGTCCTTCAATTGTAAATATACTGCTCTTGCTTTACCGATCCACGTTTTCACATCTGCATCAGATCCACCCTGTTCATCACTGATGCTGCCCAGATATGTGAAGGTTTTCACATCTTCCAAAGTTTCTCCATCAAGTGTGACTCGACTGGTGCATGCTGTGTTATATCGGAGAATCTTGCTTTTCCCTTTGTGTACATTGAGACCTATTGCTACTGAGGCTGCTGCTACACTGGTTGTCTTCTGCATTTGCTGTTGCGTTTGGGATAGGAGAGCCAGATCATCTGCGAAGTCTAGATCGTCCAACTGCATCCTAGACGTCCACTGTATCCCATACTTTCCTTCAGATGTTGACGTCTTCATGATCCAGTCGATCACCAGGAGAAAGAGAAAGGGTGAGAGTAAGCAACCTTGCCTGACACCGGTTTTCACTTCGAACAACTTTGTTAACTGTCCTCCATGCACGATTTTGCAGTTTAATCCATAGTGTTGTTCTGTCCACGCTATCAAATGCCTTTTCGTAGTCAATGAAACTGATGTAGAGTGATGAATTCCATTCAATTGATTGTTCCACAATGATCCGTAGAGTTGCGATTTGGTCTGTACACGATCTATCCTTACGGAATCCTGCCTGTTGGTCACGAAGTTGGGCGTCTACGCAGTCCTTCATCCTGTTTAACAATACTCTGTTGAAGACTTTTCCCGGTATTGAGAGAAGAGTGATGCCCCTGTAGTTATCACACTTGCTCAGATCGCCTTTCTTCGGTATTTTGATCAGAAGTCCTTCTTTCCAGTCTGTTAGTACTTGTTTCTCATCCCAAATCTTATTGAAGAGAATGTGGAGTATCCTTGCAGTTGCCGCTACGTTTGCTTTTAGTGCCTCTGCTGAGATGTTGTCCGGTCCTACTGCTTTGCCACTCTTGATTTGTCTGATGGCCATGCTGATTTCTTCAATTGTTGGTGGGCCAACATTGGTTGGGAGGTCCGTGGGTGCTGCTTCGATGTTGGGTGGGTTCAGTGGAGCTGGTCGATTCAAGAGTTCTTTGAAGTGTTCTACCCACCCGTTTTGTTGCTCTTCAATGTTGGTGATTACCTTGCCTTCTTTGCTTTTCACTGGTCGTTCTGGTTTGCGGCGATGTCCAGAGAGTTTCTTTGTCGTGTCATACAATTGTCTCATGTTTCCTTCTCTTGCAGCCTTTTCCGCCGTCGTTGCTAAATCTTCCACATATTTATGTTTGTCGGTTCTGATGCTCCTCTTCACTTGTTTGTTTACTTCTGTGTATTCAGCTTGTGCCTTGGCTTTTTCTGCTCTCGTTCGACTGGTATTGATTGCTGCCTTCTTGTTCCTTCTTTCTTGAATCTTATCCAGTGTATCAACAGTGATCCATTCCTTGTGATGGTGCTTCTTGTGACCCAGGACCTCATTACATGTTGAAGTGATTGCCTCTTTGATCCCCTTCCAGTCGCTCTCCACAGTAGTTCCTCCTCCATTGAGTAGATCATGAAAGGCCTGGAACTTGTTGCTGAGGGTTATCTTGAATTTGTTGAGTTTGTCAGTATCCCGAAGAAAAGCTGTATTGAACTTTTGTGATATTGTCCGCCCCATTGTCCAGTGCTTCTTGAGTTTCTATTTCATCTTGGTGACCAGCTCCTCTCTTGGTTCTCACATCTTCCATCGTCCTCCTGACCTTTTTTCTTATGCAGATATGTTCGGTTTGGTTTTGCGTGGTGTGATCCGGTGAAGTCCATGTAATTTTGTGAATGCACTTATGTGGGAATATAGTTCCGCCCATGACCAGTTTATTGAAGGCACATAGGTTTACAAATCTCTCACCATTTTCATTACTTTCTCCCAGTCCATGTCGTCCCATGCTGTCTTCATATCCAGTT